ACGTGTAGAGGGAGGGGAGGTTATTTTGATATTGTAAATTAAGGAATCATGAATTTTTCATGTAACGTCGAGCAGGATTTGCGTTGTACTGTTTCAGTTATCCCATGAATCGGACCTAACTCCGAATACATGCAATTTATGTGGTGATAGTGTATATACCCTAAATTGTAAATTTAATTAGTGATGTTACGTTTCTTATTTATTTAAATGAGTGATTGTGCTTAAGTTACGTAAGGCCACCATAATCTGAAACATAACAGACCTTATTAGAAAGAAAATGATACATGTACACTCCAAACCGACGCCTCTGATTGCACACTTCGATTTAATTTTTAAAATACAATTTTGTTCATGGATTCACTGATTCGTGACTTGTTCTGAATACCTTATATTGAAATCCCTCGTGATTCCATCAAAATTAGGGAAATCACCCCAGATCCAGGCACTCTTCTTCTCTTCCTCGGACCCTACTCCTCTTTGGAATCGGCCTTCGTCCCTCTCTCCTACCCCTATACCTTTCAGCGTTGCTAATAGAACCCAAGCGCCAACATAGTGACCATGTTTCTGGAATGACTGAACCTGCAAATTTCTGCCGTCAGAGGGGATCAATTGTGGTATGTTATAACCCAATTTGGAAAATGAGATATGACATAATCATGTCAAAGAAATTCAATATCAAAGCAGGAACATTCATGTCAAAAGATGCATTTCACACCTCCTAAGGATGACGATTTCAGTTCTCTGAGATGGGAGCTACCGCCGGCACTCCTAGATCCTAAGTTTTATACTCCATCACCACTTCCTCTTTCTTTTTCCCTCCATCTTTTCTTTATTTCACATATATTATCTTTTCCTTTTGTTTGTTCGTTAATTTCCAAGAAATCCCTAAAAATGTTTACTCATTCTTCTCGTTCCCAAACTCCAGCAGTAAACCCACCTTCTTATTGGACCAGATTCATTTCTATGGCAACCTGTATGTGCTTTCTTCCCCAACCTTTCCTTTTGTTTGTTCGTTTAATTTCAGGTTACAAACATCTTACTAGAGTCGAGGCAAGCGTAATAAATTCAAACCGGAAGACAGCTAAACTATCCAAAACAATATTAAGGGTTCTTCTACTCTCAACTACTAAAAACCGACATGGTTGGAAACAAAAATAGAAGAATGCAGTTTAAGTGGCAGCAGCTTTTAGCTGTTCCACTTCTAATTCCAAAGTTGAATATTAATATTTTAAAATAGTGTGTGGAGTGGGATGACGAACCGGATGTATTTTATTCAAAATATATAAAAGCTTAATGCTCTTGTAATATAATTGATTTAAAGCAAACAAAGGGGAGGGGAGAAAAGGTGAACGGAAAAATATCATATCCTTCAATTTTACTTAATTATCTTTTTTTCCTGTCTGTTCATTTAAATAAGTTAAAGAATTAAAAATAATAACAATAAAGTAAGTGACTTACCACACCCCTCCCCTCCCTATCAATTTTTTTGATAATTATAGAGGATATTTTTTTTCTCCTACCTTCAAAGTTCAAACCAAACATACTATTAGTCACTCACGCAGACATCGTCCAAGTGATCATGGTGAGGTTGTAGTCATGTAAATTAGCTCGGCGCCTTAGGAATGCTCGGGATTAGTCGTCTTTAGTTTTTGAAAACATGTCTCATTTATGAATTCATCCATTACGTAATTTCAATTAATTTGGTTACAAGAGTAACTTATATATGAATATATTCTATTTTAGAATAAAAATGAATTACTACTAACCATAATAATATTGTGCAGCACAAGTAATAAATGCCTACAAAAATATAAACTAATAAGTAATATATGCATAATATTTTCAAATGCATAATTAAACTTTAAAAAAATGTATTATGCAATTTAACTTTTACAACTTAAACTATTAAATGAAAGATAGGCCTTTTAAACAAGAGTATTATCCCCCTATTAAATTACTTTAATTTTACAATTTGAACTATAAAACTGCAAACTCTTAAACTTATATCAATTATATATTAATGTCGATGTATGTGTTTTGTTTTTTTTTTTTTTTCAATGGGTAGCAACATTCATTTATTTTTTAATCTAGCCCAACTCCTCCTTATGTATATCATGCGAATTTTTTTTTAATATGAATATATAATGCAACTTAAATCTAAGATCTCATATTGCTATTAAAAAAAATTATTATTAAATTAGTTAAGGCTTTATTTAGTGTAGTTATAATTTTTAATTTTATCTTTCATAAATTTTGTAATCATTGAAAACTAAAATTAAAAATAAAAAATTAATAATTTGTTTAAGATGAATTTTAGCACTAACAATAAAAAAATATAACTTATTTAATATTATTGGAAAATTATTTTTATTTTTTTAATAATCATAATAATATATTATAAAAATACATAAAAATAAATAAAATTTTTGTTTACAATTATAAAATTTGTAAAAATCAAAATAAAAAATTTAAAATCACAACTATAATAAATAAAATCTAAATTGTTAGTTACATTAATGTCAATTTTTTATTAGAACATATCTCAACTCGTATGATTTCATGCAATCAATACCACTCCATGGACATGACAGTAATATGTAGAAAGGAAGGATGATGTTACTACAAAAATATAACTCACGTGGGATATTTTATGAGTCCTTTTTTACTGTTAAACTGCATGTAACAGTGAAGGATAATAATTCACGTACTTATCTATTCAACACTCGATGCGTCCTACTCCTTAAAATATATATTTATAGTCCGGTAAAATAAGAGGCGAATAACTTAACCATATAGCTATTCATCCAATATGCTCTATTCTTGGTTCCAAAGATACTTAACCCTATAGCCATTCATCCAATTATGCTTTGTTTTTGGTTCCAAACATACGATAACAAGAACTTTGTTTTTATTTCTCAATTGGCTATGTTAAGGACTGTCGCTGCAGGGATGCGGCCCACGGTGTTCCCTTGCAGAAACAAACAAAAAAAAAAAAAAAAAAAAGAGGCTTTCGGCTAGAAATCCCATCAATTTCAACCTTTGCCACCAAGTTTGCAGCTCCAACGTGACCATTTGCTCTACACTTCTTCTCTTCTATCCTATTATCCAAATTAAATCCACTAATAACAAACAAAATCTAACAAATGAAACAGGAAACAAATGATGGAAAAAAAAAAATTAAGAAAGCCTAGCTCTAAAGAAAGAGGGAGAGGAGATGAAACAGATTTGAGAAAGGAAAAGGACTTTTAAAGAAATAGATGGGTGGAAACTCAAATTTAGATTCCTCCTCTGTTAAACGAGGTTAGCGCATTACGAAATCAAGAAGGGGAGAAGTGGAGAAGATGATAGTAAAAAAGAAGAAAAGTCAGATGAAAAAGAAAGGGCGGAGAGTGCACACGTCATCAACACTGGCTTGACATCGGTGTAGGTGAAGGCCAAGGGAGAAATGGAGAAGAAGGGTGATTGTGCTTCATTGGGATGTTTCTGGGAAAATTCGTCTAAATTTCATATTATTCAAAATAAACTAAGAATAAGTGTTTTATCAACATAAAATACTGTTTTTTTCTTCTAAATTTCATGAGTGACAAGGAGGATGTTGATTAGGGATGGTAATTTGTCTTGATTTTTGTACGGATCCTCATCATGGGGTGGTGCAGGGAGAGGAGGAAAATCCCTCCTCATAAGACAGGGATGAGAAGTATTTTTCTCACGTTAAATTAGCTGGGGAATTTTTTCTGCCCTGCAGGGATTTCATTTTAGTAAAAAAATAAAAATATATAAATTTATTTTATTTTTAATTTAATTTAACTCATTATAATAATACATAATATATATTTTAAACTCAAATTTAATTTAATAAAAATTAAATTTAACCTAAATATATTAATTTAGTTATTTATATTGAATTAATTTTTATTTAGATTTAGATAATTTATATTTAATTTTATATTTAAAGAATTTAACTAATTATACTTAAATTTTTAAATTTTTATTTATTGTAATTAAATATTATTAATTATATATAAAAAAATTTATATTTTAATATAAATTGATAAAAAATGAGAACGCTTGCAGGGAATAGAAATGATGGTCAAAATCTACTCCCCTAAAAAAATCTTCATAAAAAATCCCATTCCCGTTATTTACAAGAATAAAAATAGGGAGAGACTCCCCAATCCTGCGATCCTGTTGTCATCCCTAGTGTTTGTTTGATATGTTCATAAATTATTATCTTACTGAAAAAAAATGGAAAAAAAGTAAAAAAAAAAAAAAAAGGGATAGGAAAGAAGCCACAGCATTCGTGGAGCCCCCTTCCCTGTTTAAATTTATAATTTTCTGTAAACCATTGTAAATTGAATTGTACAAAATAAACATAAAAAAAAAATTGTACAAAATATATTTGACAATTTATTGGTACATGTATTACCATAAATATTTTCCTTTTAACTAAAAAATGAGAAGGAACGGCTCGTTCTATCAAATAGTATTGAATCCTGAGTTAAGGTTATTCACCTTTATAAGTTGTATGTTTAACCTTATGGATCTCTTTTTTTTATTTTTTTAATTAATTATGTAAATAATTATAAATTATTTAAAAAAAAACTAAAAAATGAGAAGATTTTGTATAAAGGGAAAGTTATGACCATTAATAATAAGACCATGATTGGCGCCCCGTCAATTAAAATATAATATTTCATAATTTAAAATTAGTTAAGATAAACTTAATCTTGTTGCCAAATGCCCTCATAATCATCTTCATCTCTTTCCTCCCAATAGAATCTTTGCCTTATTATTATTATTATTTTTTAACTCCAACTTTAACCCCATGTTTCCCTGTAGTGGATCCCCTCGGAACAACCCACGACGGGAATCCCCTGCATCCAAACTTTTAAAAAATCGAAAACTCATCTCCTAAATGCCACACATTGTGATCAGAAAGTGTGTAATAGCACCTCACGGAGCTGTCGCCCTTGCCATTGCAATCAGGCAAGTTATTTGCAAATTTGGGTGCAAAATCACGCTAGGTTGAGCAAGGAATCCAAATCTATAAGTATTTTCGCCTATTTTGTGGGTATTATACTGTAATTGTGCTAAATATGACAGAATAGTTTTGGTATTTTTCTTGAATTGTCATCCACCTAAAAATCTCCAAAACTCATGCCTCTTTCTCCCTAGTTTTGAAAAAGCGAGGATAAGTTAATTCATGATAGAAAATGCATTTTAATAGTTAGACGACAGTGTGTGATTGAAGGTGCAAATTTAGAGGGTAAATGTATTGTTTTCCTTAATAATTATATTGTG